CAGCCTCAGCCTATTTCTCCATGTTTGTCAGGCTGGTCTTTAACTCCTGACCTCAGGTTATCCACCCACCTCAGCCTCCCAAAATGCTGGGATTACAGGCATGAGCCACCACACCCAGCCATGGATAAATTCTTTAGTTCTTTAGTGGTGATTTCTGAGATTTTGGTGCACTCATCAGCTGAGCAATTTTCACTGTATCCAGTGTGTAGTCTTTTAGCCCTCATCACCCTCCCATTACCCTTTCCCCAAAATCTATTGTATCATTCTTTTACCTTTATGTTCTCAAATAACTTCTAGGCTTGTTTGCTAAACAATCCAATAGTAAAGATAAACATCTTACCAGAAGTGTCTGAGAAGAATAATTTTGTTACTATCTTTAAAAGTGTGAAAGCAACTAGAGTAGGAAAAAATACATTAAACTTTAGCTCAATTAAGTTTAAGGTTACAGTCAAGACATGGGAAATTATTAATATACTAGGTTTTTCTACTGACTTCTACATCCATTTAATTGCAGAATAAAAAATTAAGCTTCGGCCGGGCGTGGTGGCTCAAGCCTGTAATCCCAGCACTTTGGGAGGCCGAGGCGGGTGGATCACGAGGTCAAGAGATCGAGACCATCCTGGTCAACATGGTGAAACCCCGTCTCTACTAAAAATACAAAAAATTAGCTGGGCATGGTAGCGCGTGCCTGTAATCCCAACTACTCAGGAGGCTGAGGCAGGAGAATTGCCTGAACCCAGGAGGCGGAGGTTGCGGTGAGCCGAGATCACGCCATTGTACTCCAGGCTGGGTAACAAGAGCGAAACTCCGTCTCAAAAAAAAAAAAAAAAAAAAAATTAAGATTCAAAATTTTCTTCTTTAAAAAATTTTACTTTAAGTTCTGGGATATGTGTGCAGAACACGCAGGTTGGTTACATAGGTATACATGTGCCGTGGTGGTTTGCTACCCCTTTCAACCCGTTATCTAGGCAACCTGAGTCTTAACCAATTACCATTTAAATACATTTTTTCAAACTTTCCAAAAACCTGTGATCATGTTAATATATTCCTGGGGCTCCTCCCATGCCTTGGATGAGGTCTGTGCAGGGAAGGGCTCTGAAACTTGAGATTCCTTAGCTATAGAACAGGAGTGTCCAATTTTTTGGTTTCCCTGGGGCCACATTGGAAGAACTGTCTCGGGCCTCACGTAAAATACACTAACACTAACGATAGCTAATAAACTTTTAAAAAAAAAATCTCGTAATGTTTAAAGAAAGTTTACCAATTGGGCCGCATTCAAAGCTCAGCCATCCTGGGCCGCATGCATGTTGAACAAGCTTGCTATAGTGTATAATGTTAGCTCTGCTAATGGAAGGGAAAGAAAGCTTTTACAAGAGATGGAACATTAACATCTCTACAATGAGGATGACTGGAGTCCCAGTTCTTTAGCGGTGGTCCCTGGAAGAGCTGGGGTAGGTTAATGTCTTGCTAAATGTGGGACCCTTCTCAGCCTGGACATCTCCCTTCCCTTCACTTCCCCACCACAGTCCATTCCATCTAAAGCTATAGGGAGAAATCCCACGTAGAAAGAGGAGCTTCAGCCTGCAGTCTAAAACTGAGGCAGGAGAGTTTCTTTTCCCTTTCTTGGATTCCCCTTGTTCCTAAATCTGTCTTTGATTCTGCCCCCACCTCCCTGCGCCCCCCACCACTCCTGACTCTTGGCAGTGTCTTTCTGAGACAAGAAAGGTGACTGGGCCATCCATCTTTTATAATTCCAAGCCCGTGATTAGTGACATTCAGAGTGACTCATTGAACTCTCCAGGGTCAGGTGTTTGGTTCCCGACAGTTCTTACCTGGCTTTCTAACCAGACAAGCATCAATTCCTCTCAGTCAATGCAGTCTCATTAACTGTTGGGATTATGAGGGAATCACCTGTCCACTGGTAACAGAGCTGCTGCTGCTGCCTAAAATGTTTCACTTTTCCCTTCATTGCCACAAACCAATGAGGCATTGTGATAATCATGATTTAGGAAAAGGTCTGTGTATATCACCAGCCTTGGCTCAAACTCTAAAGGATCAAATGTTGCTAACCTTAAAGCTGATTTATATATGTCTTTCCATTGTTTATCCCAAGATGGTTTTGCCAGATATTAGTTTGAAGGATGTGGGACTGGCTATTAAGAGTTGAGATTGTTACTAAGTGAAATGAGGGAGGAGAGGAGGCAGGGGCAAATACAAGGGCAGCAACAAAAAATAGAGCTCAGTTCTGCAGGAGAGATATAATGCCTGGTCACCTTAAAATAGCTCTGTACCTCAGGATTTAGCTACAAAGCATACATTATGATGGTTTCTTGGAGGTATGTAAGGAGAGGGAGTGGTGAGGTCTGAGAATATAGGACAAAGTCTGAAATTGTTTTATATTATATATACAGCATTACAATACCTAAGTAGGCAAGAAGTGACTTTTTCAAAGACCAACATGAGAACAGAAGAGTCACTTCAGAAAAGACTGTTCCCAAGTTTTAGGCATGTTTACTAAAGAAAAGTTGTAATCAGAAGTCTTCCTGAGGATGGACCAGGTGTGGTGGCTCACGCCTGTAATCCCAGCACTTTGAAAACTGAGGAGGTTGGATCACAAGGTCAAGAGATAGAGACCATCCTGGCCAACATGGTGAAACCCCATCTCTACTAAAATTACAAAAATTAGCTGGGCGTGGTGGTGCGTGCCTGTAGTCCCAGTTACTTGGGACGCTAAGGCAGGAAAATCGCTTGAATCCGAGAGGCAGAGGTTGCAGTGAGCCAAGATTGCACCACTCCAGCCTGGCAACAGAGACTCTATCTCAAGGAAAAAAAAAAAAAAAAAAAAAAAAAAAAAAAGTCTTTCTGAGGATTAGCAACTCAGGTAAATAGACCAAAAGCAATCCTTTAGAAAGGTTCAGTCTGGCTCAGTGGCTCATGCCTGTAATCTCAGCATTTTGGGAGGCAGAGGTAGGTGGACAGCTTGAGTCCAGACGTTTGAGACCAGCCCGGCCAACATGAGAAAACCTCGTCTATACAAAAAAATACAAAGATTAGCCAGGAATGGTGGCACGTGCCTGTAGTCCCAGCTACTTGGGAGGCTGAGGCAGGAGGATTGCTTCAGGCTGGGAGGTCAAGGATGCAGTGAGCCCAGCTTGCATCACTGCACTCCAGCCTGGATGACAGAGTGAGACCCAGTTTCAAAAACAATTTTTTTTTCTTTTTCGTTTTTTTAAGATGGGGTTTCACCATGTTGGTCAGGCTGGTCATGAACTCCCAACCTCAGGTGATCCGCCTGCCTTGGCCTCCAAAGTACTTGGATTACAGGCGTGAGCCATCACGCCCAGCCTACAAAATTTTTTAAATAGAAAGTTTCAGACTGCTCTCATGCTGTTTTAATGTACAGTTTACATACAGGTTGTGGGGTTCAGTATGTGCTCAGAAGTTACCTCAAACTTGCTCACAAGTTACATAAGCAGAATCACATAAAAGTTTGGATGTAAGAGTACATTTGGTTATAGATTACAGAGGCAACATCCCTAATCCCTTTAGACATCATCTTATGCGCAGGAAAAGGGAAGGACTAGGGTCATTTAGAGACAGGGTGTCACTCTGTTGCCTAGGCTGGAGTGCAGTGGTGCAATCATTGCTCACTACAGCCTCCAACTCACAGGCTCAAACGATCCTCCTGCTTCAGCCTCCTGAGTAACTGGGACTACAGGTGCACTCCACCAAGTCCGGCTAATTTTTAAATTTTTCTGTAGAGATAGGGACTCGCCATGTTGCACAGGCTGATATTGGATCCTGGCCTCAAGCAATCCTCCCTCTTTGGCCCCCCAAAGCATTGACATTAGGTTTGTGAGGCTCCGCGCCCAGCCCATTTATCTTTTAAGGAATATCGTGCTCTCAGGCAAGAGATACGGAGGACGGTGTGCCCTATCCTGTTTTGTCTTCAAAAGGCCTTTCCAGAGACTTCAGAGTCAAAGAGGTTTTGTGAAGTTATGTTGCCAAGCTGACATGAGCAAGCCTGGCTTCTTACATTTGTTACTTTGTCTCACAGAAGATGAGGAATCCTAAAATACAAATTTGGCCCATAACTTTATACTGTGTGGGATACTGCTTTGGTGAAGTCCTTTTTATTGTCATCCCTTTCTTTTCGTAAATTAAAAAAAAAAAATTTTTTTTCTTTCTTGAGACAAGGTCTCGCTATGCTACCCACACTGGCCTCAAACTCTTGGGGTCAAGCTGTTCTCCCACCTCAGTCTTCATCCCTTTCTAGACAGCGAAAAACAAATGTGCAGAGCTCCGGGTCCTCTTTTCTAGGGCAGGGAGGGGAGCCTGAGAGTCTGGTAGGTCCCAGTGAGGTGACTGCTCCAGCACTTCGTCTTTGGGAACATCTGTCTGGTGCCAGTTTGACCCGAGGAACGGCCTAAGTCGCCCGCAGGCTCCTAAGGTCCTCGTCTTTCCGGGTGGCAAGACATCTGATCCATCTCGAGAACAAGTTCCCGGTTGCTTTAGGCGCTTTGTTACAGCTGACGGGGCTGGTGGCGGTTGGGCTGTCCGCTGGGAAAGGCGCAGCTCGAGTGTAAGGCTCGGGAGGGGGCACTGAAATGGTCTTCCTGGAAGGCTTCCTTCAGGAGGAAACAAATTGGGAGTTGCTGGCGGTCCAGACAGTTCAGCAAAGTGCAGTGTTTCTCCTTGGGGAATTTCGGAAGAATCCTGGCCCGGTGTACTCCAAGGTCCGGTGCCGATAGGTCGAGGGTAGAGGGAGGTACCATGCTGGGCAGCTTGGCCCCAGGGGGACATCTTCCCTGCCCCACGCATCCAATAGATGACCCCAGCTGAAGCCCACGCAGCCAATAGCCGACTTCAGCCGAGACCCACGTAGCCAATGGCCGACCTGCTGCGCTTCGCCCGTGCCCGCCCATCGGACCCTACCAATCAGGACTCGGGCCACCTTGGCACCGCCTCTGGACGCCCGCCCCACCCATCCGCCCCGCCTCCAACTTGCTCAGCAGGGCTGGGTACACCGGCGCGCTCTCCGGGACTGGGTGGGGGGGCAGTCCCGGTTTCGGCCTTCGCGCGGGTGGGCTCGGAGCGGCCGCACCGGGCAGCAACCCCACTCCCACTCGGAGACCCCTGCCCTCTCCCCCACTTCCCCCCGGCCCATGGTGCGAGGCTGGGAACCGCCGCCCGGGCTGGACCGCGGTGAGTGATCCCCAGCCCCTTGGACTTCCCCTCCCAGCTCGTGTACGATCTCCGACCTCTGGAGCCCCATCCCCGCGCTGGTGGGGGGAGAATTCTAGGTTCGAAGTCACCCGGTTCTCTCTTTTTTCTCCTCTGGACTTTTTGGTTCCCTCTTGTAACTAGGGGAGGGGTGAGTGCGTAGGGGAGGGAAACGTTGGGTTGGGGCGCCCTTGGCGAGAGTAGGATCGAGATTCGCCTGCTTCATGGGGCTCATCGCCCCAAGTGCAACAACTTTTTGTTCCCTGACCCAGTTCGGAGCCTTCTGGACTGCCTGTGAAATGGAGGATAGGAGAAACGTTTCCTTCCCAGCCCCCTCCAGCACGCCCCCCCAATTCCCATGGCTACCTCCTGGCGACCTCAACACACGTATAGAACCTGGCCTTGCTTCTGAGGATCTGGCCTTTGGGAATGAAAGGTTTAGAAGAAATTGCCCCTTCTGACTCCCGTACCCAGCCATACTCAGAAAACCAACCAGGAAAACTGAGAACCCAAGTCCTCTGGGGTTCCTAGTGTTGCGTCCTATTCTGAGACTACTAAACTGAAAGAAGACTCAAGCTGAGACCTGTTTGGTAATGTGGGCCCAGATCAGGAGTTTTTTTTTGTTTTGTTTTGTTTTTTGTCATATTGAACCTCCTTCCCATGGTACACTTGAAGCCTTTTTATATTATACGATTAGGTTAGATGGTAGTAACTGAAAAAGCCAGATTGGGAATTTTAAAGATAATGAATATATATCTTAAACATTATAATTAAAAGTACGTTCATTTCACCAATCTTTTGATGTAGTGGTGAGATTGTTTTTGTGTCTAAGTCAGCTGTTCGGAGTTCCCAATTCTCTTTCTAATATTAACTACACAGGGAGTCTCAAAACTGGCTATACCCTGAGAACTTTTAAAAACTGTGGATGCCTGGGCCCCATACAGACTATTGAATCTGAATGGGGAGAAGGGTGGCCTTGTTTTTAAGCTTCCCAGGTAATTCCAGTGTGCAGTCTGAGACGAGAGCCACTCTGGCACTTTCATCATCTTTGATTTCCTGTTTTGCTTTATTTATAAAAGTGAAGAAATTTAGACACCTTCGAGTGCAGAGGACTTTTAAGATTAAGTTCCAGGCCGGGCGCGGTGGCTCAAGCCTGTAATCCCAGCACTTTGGGAGGCCGAGGCGGGTGGATCACGAGGTCCAGAGATCAAGACCATCCTGGTCAACATGGTGAAACCCTGTCTCTACTAAAAATACAAAAAATTAGCTGGGCATGGTGGCACGTGCCTGTAATCCCAGCTACTCAGGAGGCTGAGACAGGAGAATTGCCTGAACCCAGGAGGCGGAGGTTGCGGTGAGCCGAGATCGCGCCATTGCACTCCAGCCTGGGTAACAAGAGCGAAACTCCGTCTCAAAAAAAAAAAAAGATTAAGTTCCACCCCTCAGTCTTTTACAGTTGTCTTGCTCACTCCCAACTCAACAATTTTTAAAATGCATACTCTTCTTTGTGTTATGTCTCTCCAAAGCATTTGACTTAGTTTTCATAGGAACAGTTTTTAAAAACCAGTATTCCTGAAGGAATAGTTTTAATGCAGTGAGTTTTCATAGGTTTATGTGAGATTTAATTACATTATTATATAGCCACTGAAAAGGTATGGACATAAGAAGGTTTGTAATCACACAAAACTGGCCCCAGCACACAGGACAATTGAATGAAGCAGGTGATTTTGGCTCACTAGTAGCCTACTAGTCTTTAGTTTCCAGTGCACTGCAGTTATTGGTCATGTAATCCAGAGGTCAGTTAAGCCAGGCTTCTGGCCCAGTTGAGCATTGCTTCCTTCCACTCTTTCCAACTAATATCACAAATACCTTGTCCCTTCTAGAGGCACTTGAATTCTTGAGTATTCCATCAGCTTTTTACATTCATTCACATTAAGCTGTTCATCTTTAAGCACTATTGCCTTTATTAAGTTGGAAGGATATGAGGCAGTAATCCTTAACCTGGCTTCTTTTTTTTTTTTTGGAGACAGAGTCTCACTCCCTTACCAGGCGCCAGGCTGGAGTGCAGTGGCGCGACCTTGGCTCACTGCGACCTCTGCCTCCCGGGTTGTTCAAGCAATTCTCCTGCCTCAGCCTCCCGAGTAGCTGGGACTACAGGCATGAGCCACGATGCCCAGCTAATTTTTTTTTATTTTTAGTAGAGACGGGGTTTCACCATGTTGGCCAGGATGGTCTTGACCTCTTGACCTCATGATCCGCCTGCCTCAGCCTCCCAAAGTGCTGGGATTACAGGCGTGAGCCACCGCACCTGGCCTTTTTTTTTTTTTTTTTTTTTGAGATAGAGTCCTTCTCTGTCACTAAGGCTGGAAGTGCAATGGTGTGATCTTGGCTTACTGCAACCTCTGCCTACCAGGTTCAAGTGATTCTCTTGTCTTAGCTTCCCAAGTAGCTGAGATTGCCGGTGACTGCCACTCCCAGCAATTTTTTTTTTTTTTTGTATTTTTAGTAGAGAAGGGGTTTTGCCATGTTGGTCTGGCTGGTCTCAAACTCCTCACCTCAGGTGATCCACCTGCCTTGGCCTCCCAAAATGCTGGGATTACAGGCATGAGCCATCATGTCCAGCCATAACCTGACTTTTGGCAGTCACTAAAGCCCCGGAGTTTATTGTGTGAGTGTGAATGTTTATTTCAGGAAGGTTAGTCATAACTTTCTGAGGGTCTGTAACTTTTGTCTGATTCTCAAAGAGGTTCGCAAACCAAAAGTCAAGCATATAACCTGAATATCACTATAACTCTTTAAGGCCCTTAAAACTGTATCCCAAACACATTTTGGAGTACTTCAGATTGTCTCTAAATAAAGATTTCAGAAATTCTGCAGGATCATATCTAGTCTCCCACTTTATTTATTTTTATTTATTTATGTATTTATTTTGAGACAGTCTCGCTCTGTTACCCAGGCTGGAGTACAGTGTCGCGATCTTGGCTCACTGCAACCTCTGCCTCCCAGGTTCAAGCGATTCTCCTGCCTCAGCCTTCCCAGTAGCTGGGACTACAGGCACATGCCACCACACCCAGCCAATTTTTGTATTTTTGGTAGAGACGGGATTTCACCATGTTGGCCAGGCTGGTCTTGAACTCCTGACCTCAAGAGATCTGCCCGCCTCAGCCTCCCAAAGTGCTGGGATTACAGGCATGAGCCACTACACCCGGCCTCATCTCCCACTTTAACCGTCTCCAACTTTAATGATAAGCTTAGGTTCAAATCTAAAGTTCTAGAGTCCTCTTTTTCCTAGGACTGTATAAACACAGAAACTGGAAGTTTAAGACAGCCCATTTTTCTCTGCCATCTGCTTAGGGATATGGAAAGCCCAAGGGGAAAGAAGAGTGTTAATACTGACTCAGAGAGAGAGAGGGGGATACTTTTTTTTAATTTTAAAAATTTATTTTCTTTCTTTATTTTTGAGACAGAGTCTCACTCTGTCCCTCAGTCTGGAGTACAGTGGCACGATCTTGGCTCACTGCAACCTCCGCCTTCCAGGTTCAAACAATTCTTCTGCCTCAGCCTCCCAAGTAGCTGGGACTACAGGCGCGCACAACCGTGCCCGGCTAACTTTTTGTATTTTTAATAGAGACAGGTTTCGCCATGTTAGCCATGCTGGACTCGAACTCCTGACTTTGTGATCCACCTGCCTCGGCCTCCCAAAGTGCTAGGATTACAGGTGTGAGCCACCACGTTTGGCCTTAAAATTTATTATTGATTGATTGATTGATTGAGACAAGGTCTCTCTATATTGCCCAGGCTGGTCTTGAACTCCTGAACTCAAGTGATCCTCCTGCCTCCCAAAGTGCTAGGAATACAGGCATGAGCCACTGCACCTGGCCATGACTCCATATATTTTTATTAGTGATCTTTAAGTAGCAGTAGGACATATCTGGCATGTTTAATAAAGATACAAATTTAGAAGGTGTTCAGAATAGATGTTCATCACCACCACCACCACCTCCTCCTCTGCCCTAGGACTCCTCACTTCAGCTTTTGATTCCCTTCTTTTTTTACCTAATCCAAAATGGACACACAAGAACACAAGATACTGTAGTGTCTTTATTGTGATTTTGATTACTATAGGTTCTACCCTACTTCTTATAATTCTCATGAGCCACCCTGGTTGTAGTTTTCTCCTAGTTCAAAGCCAGATTCTTCCAGGGAAGTACCAGCTATACAGCTGTGTGCCTTGATTTAAGTCACCATTCTGTTCCAGGAAGTGTTCCATAACATGTTTTGTGTAAGTGAAAACGACGTGTATAGTACACCAAATATGTTATTTGCAGTACTGTATGTTACACTGAAATATCAAGCTGATGCCGAGAATATGAAGGACATCAAGCCACATAAATGAAAGCAAAATGCTTCCTTACAGCTTTTAATGCTTATAAATGTGCCTGCCTTATACTTATATTCCCATCTGCAGTATTCATCCTCACACTGGACTGCTTTGTTCCTTCTGCTTTATTTTCTTTATCTCTAAACTGTTATCGTGTCTTTATATAATAGGACACAAATGAGGTTAAGTAGATATCAAGCATCGCCATCACAAAGTATTCTCCAGCTTGGATTTGGTGGCGTTCCGGGTGGTCCACAGTTTCTAAATGGTAGTTTTCAGCTGTGTACCGGATGAACCTGGAAGGGGAAAGGTAGAACTATCACATAGGCAATCGACATTCCAATCACAAAGAATTCAAATTATGGATGCAATTGTAAAGCAGTGGTTTTCATACTTTTTTTTTTTTTTTTTTTTTTTTTTTTGTGTGTGTGTGTGTGTGAGACGGAGTTTCGCTCTTGTTACCCAGGCTGGAGTGCAATGGCGCGATCTCGGCTCACCGCAACCTCCGCCTCCTGGGTTCAGGCAATTCTCCTGCCTCAGCCTCCTGAGTAGCTGGGATTACAGGCACGTGCCACCATGCCCAGCTAATTTTTTTTTTTTTTTTTTTATTAGAGACGGGGTTTCACCATGTTGACCAGGATGGTCTCAATCTCTTGACCTTGTGATCCGCCCGCCTCAGCCTCCCAAAGTGCTGAGATTACAGGCTTGAGCCACCGCGCCCGGCCAGTTTTCATACATTTTTAAAGCAGCAAATATATTCTGAAATTGTATTTAAACCCCAAAATATAAAAAGTATAGAATCATAGATACCCTGGTTTCCTCATCGCTAGTTAGAATTAGGGCTCTGCAAAAATAGATTGAAAACACTGATTTTTTTTTTTTTTGAGACGGAGTTTCGCTCTTGTTGCCCAGGCTGGAGTGCAATGGCGCGATCTCGGCTCACTGCAACCTCCGCCTCCTGGGTTCAGGCAATTCTCCTGCCTCAGCCTCCTGAGTAGCTGGGATTACAAGCACGCACCACCATGCCCAGCTAATTTTTTGTATTTTTAGTAGAGACGGGGTTTCACCATGTTGACCAGGATGGTCTCGATCCCTCGACCTTGTGATCCACCAGCCTCGGCCTCCCAAAGTGCTGGGATTACAGGCTTGAGCCACCGCGCCCGGCCGAAAACACTGATTTTTAAATGATTCAGTCTTTGTCCCAGTTACCCCATTGTCTAGGAGGAGCATTACTTTACATCAAAATCACCTCCATGAAGTTGAAGTGATGATAAAAAGCTACTATTTATTGAGCCCTTACTTTGTTCTCGGTATAATGTCAAGTGCACTTTTTCAGTCATAAACTTGCTGGGTAGGTGCTTTTTTGCTTTTTTCACCCAGGCTGCAGTGCAGTGCACAATCTCAGTTGACTGCAACGTCGACCTCCCAGGCTCAAAGCAATCCTCCCACCTCAGCCTCCCAAGTAGCTGGGACTACAGTTGCATTTCCATGCCCATCTAATATTTTGTATTATTATTATTACTATAGAGACAGTTTCACCATGTTGCCCAGTCTGGTCTCAAACTTCTGGGCTCAAGCCGTCTACCCACCTTGGCCTCCCAAAGTGTTGGTATTACAGGTGTGAGCCACTACACTCGGCCCAAAAACAGGTGCTTTTTTTTTCTGATGAGAAATTAAGCCTTAGAGAAGTTAAATAACTTGCCCAAGGACAAGCAGCTTTCTAGAAAGTGGAGTTACATTAATTCGTCTCACCATGGACATCCCTCCTCTAACAGTTGCTCTATGCCCTGCCTATACATAACACCTAGCACGTAGTACTATTACATACTGTCTGTACTGTCTTCATTTTGTTACACAGGAGGAAACTAGGCTCATGCAGGTTAAGTGACTTGCCTGAGATCACATAGCTGATAAGTGGCAAAACTGGGATTCAAACTCAGGTTGGCCTTATCGAAGAATTCATATTTCTATCTATCATGCCATGCTACCTCCATTGAAACTCTTAAGGGGCTCTTCAAGCAATATTGCTTTCAGGGTCTGGATAGCCTCAGTTAGTTAGATTTGCTTGTTAAAAGGAAATGGTGACATGCATTAAAATACTTCTGAATTTTAAAAATCATGGTGTAAAATCCCTGATATCACATTGCTCTAAATTTATGGACTTGAGATTTATTTTTGCAATTCATCATGTAGCATTTACATAGGAATCCTGTCCTCTCCTTAGCAGATCTGGAGTAGTACTTAAAAACACAGATGGAAGGCCCAGTGTGGTGGCTCACGCCTGTAATTCCAGCACTTTGGGAGGCTGAGGCAGGTGGATCACGAAGTCAGGAGTTGAAGACAAGCCTGGCCAATATGGTGAAACCCTGTCTCTACTAAAAAAAATTACCTGGGCACGATGGTGTATGCCGATAGTCCCAGCTACTCAGGAGGCTGAGGCAGGGGAATCGCTTGAACCCGGGAGGCAGAGGTTGCAGAAAGCCAAGATCATGCCACTGCAATATAGCCTGGCAACAGAGCAAGACTCCGTCTCCAAAAAATAAATAAAAAAATAAAAATCCAGATAGGATTCCCTTAAGAGTAAAGAGTGACGGATGTGTTAAAGGGTCTCTAGTGCCCACGCAGGGAGCTGAGTTAAAATTGTCAACAGAATATTCTGGGAAATAACTTCAGCAGTTATTTCAGGAAAGAAGCACAGTCAAGGCTGTCCCTGCAGTCCCCACACCCATAACCCTGGGAGCAGTGCTGCTGCTGAGTAGCTTGCAGGAGCTGGTTACAATTTATAATGAGCCTGTCCACCTGGTCTTGAGGAGAAAGCTGGGCTGAAAAGATAAGCGAAAGAGACCTTCTGCCCTGGGTGGTGGGGGCTGTTAGTGACTGAGGGAGCTCTCTGGGCTCCCTGGGGAGAAGCTGAGCTGTTGGAAGAGACAAAGGCTGGGGGAGGGGATAACCTTTGTTCCAAGGCTGACTTGGGGGCGGAAACATTTTCCTCTCCATTTTCACGTGACCTAAAGGATTGGGGGAGTGAGCCTCATTTATCCTAGATCTCTGACCCATATCTCTCATTCAAGCAAGAAATGGAAAAAATCAAGCTATCAATTTGGGCTTAGGGCTTAAAGGTACTATCATTCATTCGCCTTCCCCCAACACTCCACCACCAAGAAGGGAAAGAAAAAAAGGCGTTGGGCAGAGGACGGTGTTGTCCTATCTTCTGGATATTCATCAGTTGTATTCTCAATCTGTTGCTCCACATTCTAAATATAATTATAAATTGTTAGGATCCAAAGAGTTAGTAACAAGCCAGGCACAATGGTGTGCACGTGTAGTCCCAGCCACTTAGGATGTTGAGGCAGGAGAATCACTTGATCCCAGGAATTCGAGGTTGTAGTGCATTATGATTGCACCTATGCATAGCACGCCAGCATGGGCAACATAGTGAGACCTTGTCTCCAATTTAAAAAAAAAAAAAAAAAAAGCAGCTGGGCGAGGTGGCTCATGCCTGTAATCCCAGCACTTTGGGAGACAGAGGTGAGTGGATCATTTGAGGTCAGGAGTTTGAGACCAGCCTGGCCAACATAGAGAAACCCCATATCTACTAAAAATACAAAAATTAGCCAGGCATCATGGGGCATGCTTGTATTCCCAGCCACTTGGGAGGCTGAGGCAGGAGAATCGCTTGAACCCGGGAGGCGGAGGCTGCAGTGAGCTGAGATTGTGCTACTGCACTCCATCCTGGGCAATAGAGCGAGACCTTGCTCAAAAACAAAACAAAATAAAACAAAACAAAAACAGTTTTGAGGGCCAGGTGCAGTGGCTCACTCTAGTAATCTCAGGACTTTGGAAGGCTGAGGTGAGAGGATCACTTGAGGCTAGGAGGTTGAGACCAGGCTGAGCAACATAATGAGACCCTGTCTACAAAAAAGTTTAAAATTAGCCAGATGTGGCTGCATGCATCTGTAGTCCTAGCTACTTGGGAGGCTGAGGTGGAAGGATTGCTTGAGCCCAAGAGTTCAAAGCTGCAATGAGCTATGATCATGCCACTGCACTCCAGCCTCGGCAACAGAGTGAGACCCTGACTCTTGAAAAAATCAAAAATGTGCACACATACACACAAGCCAGTTGAAATTCTTGCTCCTCTTGTTTTTGTGATCGAGTCTTCACTATGGGATTCTTGTTCCGTGAATTTAGAAGGTAAGACTTGGTGGACAGCTTCTAAAAGTGGGTTTGAATAGGAAAGATAAAGGCTGTATCAGAGATATGATGGTGCCACTGCGCTACAGCCTGGGTGGCCTCAGTGAGAGAATAATATTATCTCTTAAAAACAAAACAAAACAACAACAACAAAAAAACTACTGCTGGACAAGGTGGCTCAAATCTGTAATCCCAGCACTTTGGGAGGCCAAGGCAGGTGGATCACAAGGTCAGGAGTTCCAGACCAGCCTGGCCAAGATGGTGAAACCCAGTCTCTACTAAAAACACAAAAAGTAGCCAGGTGTGGTGGTGGGTGCCTGTAATCCCAGCTTCTCAGGAGGCTGAGGCAGAAGGACTTCTTGAGTCTGGGAGGTTGAGGCTGCAGTGAGCTATTATAACACCACTGCACTCTAGCCTGGGCGACAAAACGAGAATTTGTCTTAAAAACAAAACAAAACAAAACAAAACAAAAACAAAAGAAACAACACACCAAAAAAAGCTGTATCAGGATCAGTTTTCCTGCTTAACTTCTAAAGACAGACAGATTTTTATTTATTTATTTATTTATTTGTTTGTTTGTTTGTTTTTGAGATAGAGTCTCACTCTAACACCCAGGCTGGAGTGCAGTGGTGCAGTCATAGTTCACTGCAGCCATGACCTCTGAGGCTCAAGCAGCCCTCCTGCCTTAGCCTTCCAAGTAGCTGGGACTACAGGCATGAACCACGATGCCCAGCTGATTTAAATTTAAATTTTTTGTAGTCTCACCATGTTACCTAGGCTGATATTAAACCCCTGGGCTCAAGCAATTCTCCCACCTCGGCCTCCTGAAGTGCTGGGATTAAGGTGTGAGCCACTATACCTGGCTTTAAAGACAGATTTTTTTCTTGGTACAACACTCACCAGTCACATGATTCAGGGTAATTTAACATCTATGAACTATAGTCCACAGAAAATGGGAATTAAAGCAGGATCTGATGACTTAAGTTTATGAAAATTAAAAGAAATTGTTGAAGCACTTAAAAAGCAATACGACATGATACAAATAGAAATTTAATTGTTTTGGTGTCCAGCAGTTAGTTTGGTAGAAATTGAGTAATGTGTCAAAAAGAGGAGACCCAGTGATTGAGCTGTTTCTCTTCCTATTACAGCTATCTCTGAAGGGCACAAATCAGAAAGCATCATGCCTCCTAATAAAGAGGCCAGCAGTCTCAATAGTTCACCAGCGGGGCTCATCTGCCTCCCTCCAATCTCTGAGGAGCTACAGCTTGTATGGACCCAAGCAGCCCAGACCAGTGAGCTAGACAGCAATGAACACCTGCTACAAACCTTCAGCTACTTTCCCTATCCCAGCCTAGCAGACATTGCCCTTCTCTGCCTGCGTTATGGGTTGCAGATGGAGAAAGTCAAGACTTGGTTTATGGCCCAGCGCCTCCGCTGTGGCATTAGCTGGTCATCTGAAGAAATAGAAGAGACTCGAGCCCGAGTGGTCTACCATCGGGACCAACTCCATTTCAAATCCCTTCTCTCTTTTACTCATCATGCAGGACGGCCCCCAGAGGAGATGCCTCCTCCAATGCCAGCTCCAGAACAAGTTGGTATTGGAATAGGTCCTCCAGCTCTTAGCAAGCCCATCCAGACGAAAGGATTGAAGGTAGAGCCTGAGGAGTCCTCTCACATACTGCCACTGCCTCAGAGTCACCAGAAGTTAAAGGAGTCCCTAATAGCACCTGGCAGCGGAGCATTCCCCCACCAATCAGATTTTTGGCAAGATCTTCAAAGCGGTGGCCTCTCAAAGGAGCAGGCAGGCAGGGGTCCCAACCAGTCACATGGCATACGTACTGCTTCCTGGAACCACTCCACAGCTGTCCTCCAGCCACAAGCTCGGGATAAGCCCCCGCCAATTTCATTAATTGCCAGTAGTTGTAAGGAGGAGTCAGCATCTAGTGTTACTCCCTCTTCTTCCTCTACCTCTTCTTCCTCTTTCCAGATACTGGCTAATGGAGCTACTGCCACCTCCAAACCCCTCCAGCCACTAGGCTGTATCCCACAGTCAGTGTCACCCAGTGATCAGGCATTACCCCCACACCTGGAACCAGCCTGGCCCCAAGGGCTACGGCATAACTCAGTACCAGGGAGGGTTGGCCCCACAGAGTACCTATCCCCAGATATGCAACGCCAGCGAAAAACCAAGCGCAAAACCAAAGAGCAGCTGGCTATCCTCAAATCCTTTTTTTTACAGTGCCAATGGGCACGGCGTGAAGACTACCATAAGTTAGAACAGATCACTGGTTTACCTCGGCCTGAGATCATTCAGTGGTTTGGTGACACACGCTATGCCTTGAAGCATGGGCAACTAAAATGGTTTCGGGACAACGCAGTACCTGGTGCCCCTAGTTTCCAAGACCCAGTAATTCCTACACCACCTCCACCATCAACCCGCCCCTTGAATGAAAGGGCTGAGACACCACCTCTGCCGATCCCTCCACCCCCACCGGATATGCAGCCCTTGGAGAGGTACTGGGCAGCCCACCAACAGCTACGGGAGACTGATATCCCTCAACTGAGTCAGGCTTCAAGGCTTAGCACCCAGCAGGTACTGGATTGGTTTGACTCTCGATTACCTCAGCCAGCTGAAGTGGTAGTTTGTCTAGATGAAGAAGAGGAAGAGGAGGAGGAAGAACTGCCAGAAGATGATGAGGAAGAAGAGGAGGAGGAGGAAGATGATGATGATGATGATGATGATGTGATCATACAAGACTGAGTGGGAAGCTGGGGGAGGGGAGGTCTGTTACTAAAATATGAACCAACTTAGCAACTGTTTAAACAAAGAAACCACATTTTTAAAATTACCTTGTGGCAGAGAACTAAAAAGTTTTGTGTTCTTCAGGGTGGGTGGCAGGGGAATGTAGTGAGAGTGAACCAGGGAGGATGACCCTAGGGCACTAAGTAAGGCCAGGATTGGATCAGCAGAAATCCAGACCTCTAACCTCAGTGTAGAGCGTACTGAGGATCTGGAGAAACCATGGGCTGGGAAATGGCGCTTGCCCTCCCCATGTCTGCTGTTCTTTTCCCTTAGTGTACTATAGAGAGGCCAGACCTTGGCCACACCTCTCCAGGAGGATTAGAAAGGAGTAAAGGATTCTAATTCGATTGATGATTCCAGTGCATCCCCAACCCTACCATCTTTCCTGGAATATAAGGCTCCCTGGCACCCCTTTTCTGAACACAAGTCTGTGCGTAATGCAACTCTCTTTTTTTCTTAATAACTGATCATTTCCTAGAAAACTGAGAGCCTCAGTAAGTCCCAGTCTCATCACAAATATTAACTTCCTTTTCCTCATACCATCATGATTTTATATGTTTCACCTGCTTCATGACTGAATCACAGGTGGCAGAATATTTTCATTTCTTATGCTGGGACCACTTTGCCTTGTAGCTTTTTCTCTCTTTCCAAAATCCTCACTCTGTTCACTATTTGTCTCAGGGTAAATCTTCCCCCACCGAGCTTGTGAAAAACTTTAATAATTGGGTGGAGAATAATTTAGAATGGATATTTATTGGAGATGATAATTAGAAAAGAAGACCTTTTAAAAAGTAGAATTATGTTACAAAGGGGTGAAAGAGAGGGCACAGTTTCTCCCGGTTGAAGGGCAGTGGAGGTAGGTTTCAGGTTTGGTTTTACAAACCTCATACTACCTCCTGTTCAGCTTGACAGAGACTTAATTCTTCATCTTTTTGCTGTCAGTTTGTTTCCAGAAAAGAGATTTTTTTCCCTTTCTTAGCAGTATCTCTCTTAGGGACAGATGGACCATGGTCTTTAAGTGAATTAATTATTGATGTTTTAGAATGGTTTTCATCAGTTGAGATCAGCTATATGGCAAATAGGTATCATCAATGAGTTAACCATCTAAAAAGAGTGGAAGCCCTAAAATGCTAGAATAATAATAAAAAGGCCAAAAATGAAATTGTTTCTCTCTCATCCACTTTGCTATTTCTATGGTTTAGAGATCAATGGAACCAAATCCGTTAACATTCTAACTCAACATACTTTTATTGTTTGAAGGGGCAGGACTTATTGAGGTAAATTAAAAGAAGAACAAAAACTTTAAAAGGAAGTAGCTCAGCATCTATCATCAGGCAGATTGTTTCTCAGCCATCAAATGATAATGACTAAAATTTGTGAGGCTTCAGGAGTAACAGAGATACAAGAGTCTTGGAGGTAACTCCATTTGCTACAGAACAGGCTCTTGCCCAAAAGAGAAGGTGTCTAGAAATTCCTTTAAAAATAAATCCAGAGTACCAGAAAGGGTACGGGGATCCTAGTTCAGATAAACAAGATAATTCCCAAGACCTAATTTATTTCTGACAGATGCCTGCTATTTTCTGTTTTCCCAGTATTTTTGCTTAAGGCCAGTTTGTGAGTGGCTAACCTATTAAATTCCTCATTTCTGCCGTTTAGCACCCAAAGTAGAATACATGTTTGATCTCAGTGGTAGTGTTGTTTGCCATTCCACCATTCTAGAGCTTGTAATAGTGATAGAATTGTAGCAATAAAAGGACATCCTCTTAGTTTTACTACCTGTATACTTTACTAAGCTGAAAAATCAGTGTCTCTAACAGTTGTTTTCAATAGAAAGGAAAATTAATATATTTAATAGTAAGTAAGCATAGAGGAAACAACAGGCAAACAGAAAAAGTAGAAGGACAAAGAACAGAGATGTTGCTTGTTAACACTGGCAATGGGAGAGTATATCCAAAGCTAAAAAAGAAAACCAGAAATGAAACAGTGATGTGTATATGGCCCACCACATCCCCATTCCCAACTCCCAACCAAGCATGATGCCAAGAATTATTTTTACAATCTTTGTTTCAAGTTTTAGGAAATGAGGGAAGCTACCTATGTCTTCTGGAAGAGATATAAACATCATCTTGAAGCACTAGCCTTTTCTAAGACCTTACCACTGTACTGGGAGGTGATAAGGGTGAATAGGGTAAAAATGAGGAAGCATAAGGTACAGAGTGAAACCAGGAAACAACGCCAGGGTGCTTTTTCCAGAGCCATCACCCCAGTGGGTACTGCATGCTACAATCTATCCTTCAGCAGTATGTATAGATCAGACCTTGAAGATGATCTATCTGGAAGTGCTCCATGCTCCTCTCCCACTGGGTAATCCCATCTGCCTCTGTTGTTGGTAGGGAGTCTGCAGCAGAGGACAAGAAGGTGGATGTGGGTGTTCATAACAACAAAAAGGGCAAGCTTATTGAGACAGAAACCACTGTTGTTGCTTGCCCCTAGTTTTCTTCATTGCATGATAACTAACGTTTCCAAACTAGGATTTGCTACATCTAGTGTGACAATCTCTGGAATATTTCAGTGGCTTATGGTGATAATAATGACGAATATTTGAAAAACTATTTTGGAAAATCTGGAACATATGACTACCATACCCAGAGATGACTATCCAAGAGGCAGAGTTCTGAGGAGGTGGCATTTCCTTCAATAACTTTTTAAAAATTACACATTTTCAGCCAGGCATGGTGGCTCACACCTGTAATCCCAGCACTTTGGGAGGCTGAGGAGGGCGGATCACCTGAGGTCAGGAGGTCGAGACCAGCCTGACCAACATGGCATCTCTACTAAAACTATAAAAACACGAAAAAAATACAAAATTAAAAACAAAACCTTCACATTTTCAAAAAATACATAGAATAGTATAATGAACTCATGTGCCCATTGTCCATCTTTAACAAATAATTCATGGCCAGTCTTTTATTTCTACTCTCCCATGTCTCTCTCTACTAAATTACACTAATGCAAACCCCAGACATCATTTAACTTTCCATCCATAAATACTTAAGTATGTATCTATAAAAGAGAAAAACTATTTTTAAAAATATAACTACAATATCATCACACCAAAAAAACTCTCCAATATTAACAATTATTTAATATCAAATGTCCAATAGGTTAACTTTCTTCAACTGTCTCATGAATGTTTTTTGTTTTTACAGCTTGTTTCAGTCAAGATCCAATTAGGGGCCATATATTTGTAGACGGTTTATAGAGCTTTTAAGTCTTTTTTCATCTGTAGGTTAATCCCTCCATTTGTGAGGATCTTAGGGAGGAATGTTATTTCCCCAGTGTTGCCTCTTAAGGCTTAGACCCTAATTTCTTTCTTTCTTTTCTTTTTTTTTTTTTTTTTTTGAGACAGAGTTTCCCTCTATTGCCCAGACTGGAGTGCAATGGTGTGATACCAGCTCACTGCAACCTCGGCCTCCGAGGTTCAAGCTATTCTCCTACCTCAACCTCCTGAGTAGCTGGGACTATAGGTGCACACTGCCACACCCAGCTAATTTTTTTTGGATTTTATTAGAGATGAGGTTTCACTGTGTTGCCCAGGCTGGTTTCGAACTCCTAAGCTCAGGCAATCCGCCTGCCTCAGGCTCCCAAAGTGCTGGGATAACGGATATAAGCCACTAAGCCCAGCCCCTATTTCTTACTGATGAAAACAAAGGTCATCTTGGAATATGGGAGCAAAATATATACCTACCTTAGTATGAAGGAACTGTTCCTGGGGGCACCAGGAGCTTGGAGTGAAAAAGGGGCCTAAATATGCTCAAAACCCAAGCCATTAAAAAAAAAAAAAAGTTAAGACTGGACTTTTTTTCTTTCTTGCAATTCTCCTGTCTCAGCCTCTCAAGTAGCTGAGGTTACAGGCGCACAGCACCATGCCCAGCTAATTTTGTATTTTTAGTAGAGACGGGGTTTTACCGAATTGGTCAGGCTGGTCTCTAACTCCAGACCTCAGGTGATCCACCCCCCTCAGCCTCCCCAAGTGCTGAGATTACTGGCATGAGCCACTGCCCCCGCCCTTGTGACTTCATTTAATAGGGCTCTTTACAAACCTCACCTTGTTGTCACGCCCTTTTCTTTTTGTTGCTGGAATCAGAATCATAGTCCCATAAATTTACAAAATATTATTCTAGCTATCTCTGGAAAAGTAAATGTGGTTTTTCCTATTTCAAATAGTACCTCTACCCAAAAGATATATTTCATATCAAATACTGTCTTGTGGAACTACTGAGAATGTCAGCGTGTCCACACTTAATTCACCCTGACCAAGACCTCTCAGTATAAAGCCTCTCACTACCATGTGACTTCATTTAAAAAATCCCAAACCAGGAAGCTAATCTAACAGTAGGATAAAATCTGAAATTGAGACCATTCTGGAAAATTGTGTACATATGGTTACCAGAGTTGAAACCCATGATGTTCTTCACTGGTTATATTCCACCACCCTAAGACCAGAATGAGGCATTTAGTGTGCAGGCCTAACCATGTGAGATTTCATGCACAGACAAGTTAGACTAGCCAGGTCTCACCTGCAGGACTGGTTGCTGGAAAGTAGGAAAACTCTCTAGTGTGGTTCTGCTCTCCCTCTGAGCTGAAGGATAAAATGGAACAGCGAAAAATAACTTACTTGGGCAGTTTCTCGACAGTGTTATTTGTGGGTCAGGGTAACAAGGTAGTTCGTAATCAAAGGAAAACTACTCAGAAGGGAAAGACAATGAGGAATTTAAGAGATGGGTTATAAAGTCCGTTCTTATCCTGTGAGGACCAGGTACTGGCAGAGAGGTCTGAGATTTAACTATAAGTGGAAAGATAGGCAATATAAATATTTAGGTGAGCTAAGGAAGATGGCAGCCCCTTAGCAAGAGGACTGGTGGTAGCACCTTTACCGAAAAAGATGGGGAAAAGAATGGATATTGGCCTTATAATCCTTAGAACTGAGTGCCCAGCATTTTCAATATAGGGACTTTTGAGAAGCCAGTTTACTCCTATAGGCCAAACTTCTGGCTAAATAGTAAGACTTGATGGTGACAAGATGAATGCTCACCAGGGAAAATCCAGAGTTTCCCTTCACTGTGAAGGAAATGTGAAGGCTCTTAAAGAATATTAAGGAGGCAACTAGACAATGCTCTTTGGGGGCAAACCCCAACTTCTTGTCATCTTGAAAATTTTCATTTTAGTATATGTGTCTATAGTTGAAACTCCACTCCTTTGGAAATGTTAACTTACCAGAATTGTTGGGGGTAAGGACTCTTGTGTGGCCTGAATGCCCATTTGGGGATGGTCTGAAAGAAAAAATCCCCTGTCCAGAGGAGGCAGATGAAGGTCTAAGGAAGGGAAATAAAAGCATCAGCAGAGAAAAGCAAAGGTAAAGGTAAAAATAAAAAGAATATTTAATGTAAGAGCCTATACAGTTAGGCCAGAGAGGAAAAACTCCCCTGCTTGCAACTAATAATAAAATAATTTTTGCTTGCAAATAATAATAAAATAATTTTTTTGAGACAGGGTCTCACTCTGTTGCCCAGTTTGGAGTGCAGTAGTATGACTGTGGCTCACTGCAGCCTTGACCTCCTAGACTCAAGCGATCCTCCCATCTTAGCCTCCCAAGTAGCCCATTAAGCCCAGCTAATTAGGTCTCACTTTGTTGCCCAGGCTGGTTACCAACACTTGGGCTTAAACAAGCCTGCCACCTTGGCCTCCCTAAGTATAATCCCAGGATTATAGGTGGGAGCCACTACACCTGCCTGGCCAAAATACACTAATTTGGATGTATATTAAACACAGTGCTATCCAACTTTCTTTTTTGTTTATAAGGCATGTTACAAACTTCAGTGGTACAAGCCAGTGGAGAGGTAACTCTAGGACTGCTGACAGAGTTTTGTATTTTAGTTTTGATTTGTTTTGTTTTTGAGACAGAGTCTCTGTCACACAGGCTGGAGGGCAGTGGCACCATCTCGGCTCACTGCACCCTCTGCCTCCCAGGTTCAAGCAATTCTCCTGCCTTAGCCTCCTGAGTAGCTGGGACTACAGGCACGTGCAACCACTCCCAGCTAATTTTTGTATTTTTAGTAGAGACAGGGTCTCACCATGTTGGCCAGGCTGGTCTCGAACTCCTGACCTCAAGTGATCCACCTGCCTAGGCCTCCCAAAGTGCTGGGATTACAGGCATGAGCCACTGCACCCAGCCTGCTGGCAGAGTTTAAGTATGAACACATGCCAAGAAAAAGGAAGCACAGTGTTACTCACCTATAACATAAGCTGTGGGTTGAAGCTGGTGAAGGGGTTTCTGGAAAGTACAAAAATAAGCCTGTGAGATAATCCATGAACTGGAGAAGAGATTCTCCAGTTATACTGGGGTATACTGGGGGCCAAGGAAAAGGAAATGGAGATCAAAGATTTTTAGTATATATGTTAGGCTTGGGGGCCAATGGCAAGTGAAAAAGCTCACAAATCACATAGCAGTATCTCTAACAGGTGCTTTTCTCTCCCTTTCACGAGACTGTGGGCCGATATCCCTCACTGCCTTCATGTGCTCTAATGTATCTGTGCCTTGGCTTCCCCCGCAAGATGGAAATCACCAGAAAGAATAGGTAAAGACAAAAAAAATAGCTACAAGTGGCAGAACAAAGATCTCCAAAAATTTCCTCCTCCATAAAAACAATGAGAAAATTGGCATAATGGTCAGAATAAACTTTTTCAGAAATCTGGAAATTAACAAAGGGCTTGTAGTAATCTGGAGAATGTTTATTCAAGAAAAATACCAGAATATTAGTAAAACAGCAAGGTTTGTGGCATTTTAATTTGCTCTATTGCCATTTCTCCTTCTCCAGCTCCGTGGTAGCCTTGAAAACCAACAGGGCACACTCATGGTGAAAACCAACAGTCTGACAATCACTAGAGGGAATGGAACAGGGTTGGAGCTTTTTGAAGGACTCATTCCCAAAGAACTGTCATTATTTGACCTATCTAGTGGTTCCCTGAAAGACCTCACCTTCAAGCTTGTCTTTATTTGATAGCACCAGGACTTGGAGCTCAGAGCTTACCAAGTGTAGAAAAACCTTTTCCCCAGTCTGCTGAAAACAATTAGAAGCACTTGTTTGGCTGCCTAAGAAGATAAATATCAGCTGGGACAAACAAAAGGCTAACCAAAAAGCATGACATATAGAAAACAAATAACAATGCAGAAGGCAGTCCTTACTCATCTGTAATTATGTTAAATGTAAATGAATTAAAAGGCAGAAACTGGCAAAAAGATGAAAGAAAAACAAGTCCAACTATACATAGTCTACAAGAGACTCACTTTGGATTCAAAGATGAATATAGGTTTAAAGGAGACGGATGAAAAAATATATTCCATGCAAAAAAAACAGTGAACAAGAGTGGCTATACTAATATCAGACAAAATAGACTTTAAGACAAAATTGGCTGGGCTCACACCTGTAATCCCAGCACTTTGGGAGGCTGAGGCAGGTGGATCATGAGGTCATAAGTTCAAGACCAGCCTGGCCAACAAGGTGAAACCGTCTCTGCTAAAAATACAAAAAGTAGCTGGGCACGGTGAGACTGAGGCAGGAGAATTGCTTGAACCAGGACCAGGGAGGGGGAGAGTGCAGTGAACTGAGATTGCACCACTGCACTCCAGCTTGGGCTACAGAGCGAGACTCCATCTCAAAAAAAAAAAAAAAAAAATACAAAATTGTTGGGCCAGGCACAGTGGCTCATGCCTGTAATCTCAGCACTTTGGGAGGCCAAGGCAGGCAGATCACTTGAAGCCAGGAGTTCAAGACCAGCCTGGCCAACATGGCAAAACCTCATCTCTATACTAAAAATGCAAAAATTTGCCAGGCGTGGTGGCACATGCCTGAATCCCAGCTACTCAAGAGTCTGAAGCACAAGAATTGCTTGAAGCCAGGAGGTGGAGTTTGCAGTGAGCTGAGATTTTTGCCACTGAACTTCAGCCAGGATGACAGAGTGAGACTCTGTCTCAAGAAAAGACAAAAAAAGAAAAGTGTTACAAGAGACAAAGGCATTAAATAATGATAAAGGGGTCAACTTATCAAGAAGAGAAATATTTATATATGCACCTAACAACAGAGTTCTAAAATACATAAGCAAGAACTGATATAATTGAAGAGAAAATTAGACAATTTGACAACAGGAACCAGGCATGGTTGCTCATGCCTATAATCCCAGCACTTTGGGAGCCGAGGCAGGAGGATTGCTTGAGCCCAGGAGTTCAAGACCAGTCAGGGCAACACAGGGAGACTTCATCTCTACAAAGAAATTTAAATCTAAATTTAAAAAACTAGCCAGGCATACTGGCACATACCTTTTGTTCTAGCTACTCAGGAGGCTGAGGTGGGAGACTATTTAGATAATTAAAAAAAAAAAAAAAGATTTGGGAATTTCAAATTCTTTCTTGTGAAAGTCCTCTCTGATAGGTATTCTCTAGGTACTGGCTAATGCCCTTGAAAATGGCAACCATAGTAATAGTTTTAAGGGGCTTTAGGTAAGAAATTAAGTAAGCAGACCTAAAACATTCCTTCACTGGAATATTTTTATGTTTAAAACACAGCAAAGCCAGATACACTTCAGGCCAACAGCCGGCATCCTGTGAACCTTCTTTTTACAATTAGCTTATACTGCCATCTGGTGGCAATTCAAAAAATTCCAAGTTAATTTTACTGAAAAGTTATCCTCCATCTCCTACCAGAGGTTTTCAATGACTTTGTATCACTCAAATCTTTATTTCCCCCTTATTAATTGGAGGGGAAAAAATCATTATTTGAAAAACCTGTAATATATGTATGGATACCTTGAATCACTGTCTGGAAAAAAACAAGCGAAATGGCATTCTATTAGACATAGAAAACCAGAAATCTGCAGATCTCTGCATAGAGTAGGTTGATTTCTGACACCCTTTCTCCCTCCTCTCACCATTATAAGGGTTTCTTGGAGTTCTCCTTTCCTGCAGACCTCTGCCTCCCTAATAGACAAATAATAAGCATCAATTAATAAATATATCTCAATTCTCTGGCTTCCCTATTCCCTATTTATCTATATCTACACATTCAAGCATATATTGTTCTACTACAGTGGGCAAACTAGTTTAAGAAAGAGCCATACTTTACTCTTTCCAAATGAACACCATGGACACTGTTATTTCAGTCCTGAAACCCTTCTACTATTTCCACCCCTATTTATTCTGTGTCCATTTTTAACATCAGGTCTCCGTTGCCAAAAGAAAATAGGGTCTAGTATGACATCAGATAATTTATGCCAAAACGAATATAATTTAGGTTCTCGATAAACCTTTGCTTTCATTTAGTGTTAGAAACTTCAGTCTGGAAAGAGAAGGTGAACATTGCTTACTTGTCCGAAGCTACCAAAGCCAGCCTCTCTAAAAGGAATAGATTCCGCTGAGGAGGATCGACTGTATACGGTGAAACAAAAAGAAAAAAAAAAAGCAAAAAACCTAGTTTTACTTGTTGTTGTTGTTTTGTTTTCATTTTTGTTTTCAGACGGAGTCTCACTCTGTTGCCCAGGCTGGAGCACAACAGCACAAGCGCAGCTCACTGCAACCTCCGCCTCCTGGGTTCAAGCGATTCTCATGCCTCAGCCTCCCCAGTAGGTAGGACTACAGGTGTGCGCCATCATGCCCGGCTAAATTTTGTATTTTTAGTAGAGACAGGGTTTCACCATGTTGGCCAGGCTGGTGTTGAACTCCTGACCTCAAGTGATCCACCCACCTCAGCCTCTCAAAATGCTGGGATTACAGGCATAAGCCACTGTGCAGCCAGCCTCAAAAAACCTAGCTTTATATGTTGTTAGTACACATAACACTTCATTGTTGTTTTTTGGAAAGGGACATATGTCACTAATAAAATGTCTTCAAAGCTAGATCGATGTGGGGAAAACAACTTTCTCTTCTAGTTTTGAGAGACTTCCTCTTGGCTCCCAGGAGGCGGGATTCCCTGATTTTGACCCACATGGCCACCTTGGCACAAAAGCCTTGTGGTATGGAAAAACAAATGTTTGTATGTCCTCTTCTTCCTTTCTGTCTTCCAGCATAGACTTAACTCCCTTAAGCCGACATCTATTGGGACCTGACTCCCAGTCATTGGTTGCCAGTGTGTCAGGCCATCTGGACTTTCCAGTGATGCTACTAACATGACACCTGCAAAAAAGAGCAGTGGTTCCCCTTCTACATTGTAGATCTTCAGATAAATTCTGCCATTTTCTTTCTTTCTTTCTTTCTTTTTCTTTCTTTCTTTCTTTCTTTCGAGACGGAGACTTACTCTGTTGCCCAGGCTAGAGTGCAGTGGCAAGATCTTGGCTCACTGCAACCTCTGCCTCCCAGGTTCAAGCAATTCCCCTGCCTCAGCCTCCTGAGTAGCTAGGATTACAGGCACATGCCACCATGCCCAGCTACTTTTTTTGTATTTTTAGTAGAGACAAGGTTTCACCATGTTGGCCAGACCGGTCTCGAACTCCTGGCCCCAGGTGATCCACCTGCCTCAGGCTCCCAAAGTGTTGGGATTACAGGTGTGGGCCACCGCACCTGGCAAAATTCTGCCATTCTCATTTCACTTCCTGAAAGCAGGGTCAGCTTGTGAAAAGTTGTTAAACAACAGGCTAAATGTGAAATGTCAACCCTCACTCTAAACTTTCCCTGTTCAGAACATCAGATGAAGACTTCATTGGGTTTTTTAATGGTTTTCTGATTTTTGGTAGTCCACTGAAGAAGGGAATCTGAAAGTTGTATACTGTTAACAATTGTCTGCCCATGTCCTGCCTAAAATACCATGATTGTTTATGGAAAGTATCTTTAATAAAGCCGGATACAGTTTGTCTTGAAAAAAAAAAAAAAAACCTAGCTTTAAACTTCTACATAGACCTAAAATTTTGTCAGTCCCAATCTGAGCCACATTTAGATATTTCTTTCATCCTCCAACTCTTGCCAACAGTTTTAATGTTGCTGTGTAGGCTTACCTGACCACTTGACTGCTATGCTGGGAACTGGGTCGTGGGGTAACTGAAAGAGAATAGAGCGCAGAATATAAAGTTGCCATCAATGGTGCACCCCACCTTGCCTGGCCAATTTGTTGTGTGTGGTAATCTGTTATATGATGTTTTCATATTATACATAAAGTTAGGAAGATCACATTATTGTCTTTGAGAGGAGACCATCTTCTACATAGGGAAAGGATATTCACCTCACACAGATATTTAAGGGAAAAAATTTTCTTCACCTGACTGTGATGGGGAAGTAATGCCCACTGGTCGAGGTGTGGTTGACCTGCAAGGAAAAAAAGAGAAGCGGCTCAAATCCCCCTAAGCAGAGGTTAAGTGCCACTTTAGAGGATCAATCAGATCATTGTTTATAGAAATAATAGCTTCCTCTCTGAGCACAAATTGCTTACTCTCATGTATTCTAGGTAGCATCGCCAAATATGGAAGCAACATTTCCATGTAAAACCCGTTGCTCTCCAACTCCCTAAGTGGAGCTTTCTTCACCTCTGTGTTGCCCATAATAAAAGTTGTAAAGTACACCTTTCTTCTCTCCCCAGTGCCTTACCAAGTACTCTTGGCCATACAGCTGTCCATCCATTCATACATCCCTCCATCCTCTCATCCACCTTAAGAAACTAGAAAAAGAACTAAACCCAAAATAACCAGAAAGAAGGATGCCATCCAACAAGCATATATTTGTGTCCATATTTCCCAGATCCTGAGATTACAAAGGTAACTAGAATAACTGAGAGGCTTACAGGCTAGTGGGAGAGATTAAAAAAAAAACAATTAGAGCAGTGTTTAAGTGTCATAATGGGCTTATCAGAAGTACAGAAGGACAAAAGAACACTGACTGTAACTTCTGTGAATGTAGGAGGCCATGTCTTTTTAATCCATCAATGCAGAGCTGATACTAAAAATATTTTTAGGCTGTGTGTGGTGGCTCACGCTTATAATTCCACCATTTGGCAGGACAAGGTGGATGGATCACCTGAGGTTGGGAGTTCAAGACCAGCCTGACCAACAAAGAGAAATCCCGTCTCTACTAAAAACCACAAAATTAGCAGGGTGTGGTGGCGCATGTCTGTAACTCTAGCTACTCAGGAGGCTGAGGCAGGAGAGACTCGCTTGAACCCAGGAGGTGGAGGTTGTGGGTGAGCCGAGATTGAGCCAGTGCACTCCAGCCTGGGCAACAAGAGCAAAACTCTGTCTCAAAAAAAGAAAGAAAGAAAAAAAAAAAAAAAATATATATATATATATATATATATATATATATATATGTATACACACACACATTTTTTAAACAGTTGGTAGAGCATACATATCACTAATTAGAAAGGACCAGTGGAATATATCCAGCTCCTAACACAGTACCTGATAAACTGTAGGCACTTAATATTTATTGAATGAATGAATAGACAACCATCTAACTCTACCTAATGCAATCTTCACAGAGGAAATTACTGAGTTGAATTTTGAAGGATGAGTAGGATTTCATAAGATGACAGGCCAGGGTGAGCACTACAGTTAAAATTTTACTTCGGCACTTTTCAGTGAGTAACTCTTTCTCAGAGAAGTGAAAGCTAAATTCATTAACGATTTTCTTTCTCTCAGAGTTCACCCAGCCAGGAGTCAAGAAAGAATAGACATTTTCAGGGGACTGGGCTAGTACAGAAGCTGATAAAACTGACCTGCTTCCTTGGTACCAACTCGGAGATTCCTATAGGTTAAAAAAAAATTAAAAACAGGAGTGAAGAAAGTTGCAACTGAGGATCCTAATCAACAGATCTTTAGTTTTAATTGTTAGATAACAAAGCTCAGTGCCCCTTAGTCAGGGTTGCTAAGATTCCCAGTAGGGGGAAAAGTACCTGCAGTATTTCCTTATGATATTATTAGCTTTGAGGGGATAAAATTTTAGTTCATCATAAGTGCACATAGGGAATCCCACAGACTAACATATGTGGGGAAATATGGACTCTCTGGGGAGAGAAAGGGAAATGACATACTACAATGTGCTTGAATAATTATAGGAGTGTGATCAACAGGAAAATTATACAAATACACAGAACATTCTTAGGAAGAAAAAATATTTAGGAAGTAGAGCGTAATGCAGAGGAAGGGTCCTGAGGTGTCTTGAGTTTATTGAAGAGAAATTTTTGAGTTGCAACAGATGTCTCCTCTATAAAACAGCTTCTACCTGGTATGTTGTGAATGGATTACAAGAGTGCTATATATTGATCCTTTCAGTCCTCCAAGGTCTGCTGAGACCTCATCCATTTATATGTACATCCATTTGTACAATAGTGTGCTTATTGTACAAATATAAATTTCTGTGTGTTCCATGATGAGAAAAAGTTTAGGAAACATTATTCTATACAGTCAGCTAGATAGATGAGAAAAGTAGGAGAAAAAATAATAAGGAAAATCTATTTCATTTACCTTTAGAATGGCTAGAAGTTTCCTCAGTTCTCCGTTCTCCTTCCTTAAGACTGACAATTCTCTAGGCAAAAGATGAAAACAATCAGCTCCAGCAGATCAGGGATTAAAACCTGATTTTTTCTTATTATAACTATTAACATCTATTTAATGCTTATTGAGAAATGCTTGCAGCTATACAAGCTATTTCTGTCAGAGATTTTGTGATTGAAGGAGACAATGTCAGGATTTTGATAATAAGAAAAATCAGGTTGACAAAATAAGAGATAACTCGGTATGATTTTAGGGGAATTTGCAAAAAAAAAAAATCAATTTCCTCTCTCCACACACACACACATCCCTGGCCTGCTGATGTCTAAAAGTTTTTATCAAGGATTCCATCTTTTGATTGCTCTGGCAGCACATATACCAAAATTGGAACAATACAGAAAGATTAGAATGGCCCCCAAAGACAGTTAACATGTAAATGCTTGAAGCAATTCATAAAAAAAAAAAACAATAATAATAAATTTAAAAAGAAGGAAAAAAATCCCAGACCAGCCTAGGCAATGCAGAGAGACTCAAGTCTCTACAAAAAAAAAAAAAAAAAAAAAAAAAAAAAAAATTAGCCAGGCATAGTGGCATGCACTTGTAGTCCCAGCTACTTGTGAGGCTGAGTTGGGAGGATCACTTAAGCCCAGGAGGTTGACACTACAATGAGTGTTATCAATGTGAATCAGCTATATCTGATTTTTCAAAAAGAAGTGGAGGGTTTTATTTTTTTTTTATTTTTTATTTTTTGAGACAGTGTCTCACTTTTTCACCCAGGCAGGACTGTAATGGTGTAATCATAACTTACTGTAATTCAGACTCCTGGGCTCAAAGGATCCTCTAGCCTCAGCCTCCCAAGTAGCTGGGACTACAGGTGGGAACCAACATGTCTGGCTAATTTTTTATTTAAAAACTATTTTTATTTTTTAGAAGCAAAGTCTCGCTATGTTGCCCAAGCTGGTCTTCTCCTGGACTCAAGTGATCCTTCTGCTTTGGCCATCCAAAATTCTAGGATTATAACTGTGAGCCACTGCACCTGGGCTGGGAAGCAGTTTCTGATACTGGGAAATAGAAGAGGAAAACTGTAAAGTGAGGAGGGCCTCTGGAGGGCAGAAAGAAAAAAAAATGGAGATTCAGGGGATCAAAAACTCTGTACCTGATTTTCCCAAACAAACAAATACATATGGAGCAATTTCCAGGCTTTGCAAACACAAGGAAATAAGGACTGTCAGTTCTTAGAAAGAAAAAAAAAAAAAAGCTCTCTAGGGATTTGACTTGTTACTTACTTGTCCTGGCTGACCAGTGTTTGTTGTGCCTCCTGCACGGCTGTTTCTAACTTTGTAATTCTATGCTTATAAAAGGCGAGGAGGAGATCTGTTTGTTTCTTCTGGAAACTCCACACCTACTAGGGAAAAACAAGCCTTTAACATACTCTCCTATAACTCCTTCCCCTTCACTTTTGGCAACAAAGGGAAAGCCATCAAATCACACTTTATTATACCGCTCATTTTCTTCTAGAACATCTGGCCTAATTCACAACTTCCCAGAACTAGAGGTCAGCACTCAATTCCAAGGCACTGGCCTTCTACTATCTTTCTTTTCTTTTCTTTCTTTCTTCTCTTTTTTTTTTTTTTTTTTTTTTTTTTGTTTGTTTGTTTGTTTTTTGTTTGTTTTTTGAGATGGCATTTCACTCTAGTTGCCCAGGCTGGAGTGCAATGGCACAATCTCGGCTCACTGAAACCTCTGCCTCCTGGTTCAAGCTATTCTCCCACCCCAGCCTCCCTAGTAGCTGGGATTACAGGCATGTGCCACCCTGCCTGGCTAATTTTGTATTTTTAGTAGATACAGGGTTTCTCCATGTTGGTCAGGCTGGTCTCTAACTCCCTACCTCAGGTGATCCACCTGCCTCAGCTTCCCAAAGTGCTGGGATTACAGGCATGACCCACTGTGCACATCCCTTTCTACTATCTTAATGAGAATATTCTACCATAGTTGAATGACCCTTTAAAAATATGATATTTCATTCTGTACAGTAAGAGAGATTTTTTTAAAACTGTTTTTCAGGCTTAGAATTGGTTCTAATTTGTCCACTATTAGTTTGGATCAGTTTCTACATTCATAGCTATTACAGACCTTTGGTGATCAATTTACTTTCCCTAAACACACCTACACAGAGTCACCTGCAGGCTGCTTATGCTGCTACAGGAAAGGGTGGAGAGGCACAGAAGGAGATTGCCTATGCTTGAATTTTGTTTCTGGGCATGCACACATAATTTTATCATTTGCCTTACTTTACCATTTGCTATGCTAATGTGTCTATCATAGGATTGCTGAATCAGATCAAAAGTTAATATTTAGAAAGTGTTTTAGCTTTGTCAGGCTCTACTTTTGAGCACACAGCAGTATTCATGTCTCATCTGCTTCCTCCCTGTTCAGACTATAAACCCTCTTTTGTCTAGGGTTCTTCTCTAGATCTTGGTACTCTTCTCATAAACTTTTTGTTCTCACCTAATTTTCAAATTGCTCTTGCCACCTTACTGAAGAATTGTACTGAAGAGTTTCCTTTCTACTAAAGGTAAACTAAACTGTTCTAGATAGATAAGAATTTATTCTAGTCTATTTTTCAAAAACAAAAAAAAAACCCTCATTTTTATTAAAAGTAAAATGTTTATTTTAAGCTATGAAAAAAATGTTTTGGAGATTCAGGAGGCCAAGGCTGAGGCAGGAGGATTGCTTGAGGCCAGGAATTTGAGACCAGCCTAAGCAACATAGCAAGACCCTGTCTCTACAAAAAAAAATTTTTTAAACTTAGCCAGGCATGATAGCACACGCCTGTAATCTCAACTACTTGAGAGGCTGACGTGGGTGGGTCACTTGACCTCAGGAGATCGAGGCTGCAGAGAGCCATGATCATGTTTCTGCACTGCAGCCTGGGCAACAGAGCAAGACCCCATCTTTAAAAAATTATTTTAGAAAATTCGGATAGTGGAGGCCAGGCGTGGTGGCTCGTGCCTGTAACCCCAGCACTTTGAGTGATCTCAAGTGACCTCAGATAACTTGAGATCCGGAGTTCGAGACCAGCCTGAGCAATATGGTGAAACCCTGTCTCTACTAAAAATGAAAAAATTAGCCAGGCATGGTGGCACACACCTGTAATCTCAGCTAATGGAGAGGCTGAGCCAGGAGAATCACCTGAACCCATAAGGTAGAGGTTGCAGTGAGCCAAGATTGCACCACTGCACTCTAGCCTGGACAACAGAGTGAGACTCCATCTCAAAAAAAAAAAAAAAAAAAAAAAAAAAAATTGTGGAGAAGCAGAATAAAAGTCACTCTGAATCCTGGGAATTACCTAAAATGGCAGGGGTAGGGATGAATCTACATAACAGACAGCCAAGTCACAGTGTTAGTATCCCAAATATCCTAATCCTACCCTTGGGGTTAGTTGGAAGCAAAATTAATATCAGGCTAGCATCAAGAAAAGCCAAATCCTGCCCTAGATTAGTTAGTCCTTCCTTTGAGATTACCATGGGTCATAAGTGCACAAACAGACCCCACTGTGGAACTCCAGGATGCCAGACTGGACTATGGGAGGGTCTTTTGCCAGGCCTAAGCAGACCTACTTTGTCTACTTCTCCCCAAAAACTGATCATTCCAAGAAGAAGAAAGACCAGTCCAGAAAACAACTGGCAAGGAGTATCAGAGGAGAACAAGTGATTTTGCCTGATGCCAGGGTACAAATGTTTAGCCTATTTCAAATACATTCACCAAAGAAGATTCTAAAATCTAACTCAGTAATGTTCTTAAAAATTCAGTACATTACTTTAAAAAATTACCAATAGTTAGCAATCCTTCAAATCCCTTGGCTTCATGAAAAGGTTGGCCTCTTTCCTTTTTCCAAAGAAGATTAACTTTTGCTTGCTCACTTGCTTTTTTTTTTTTTTTTTTTCCTTAATTTTTAAAATTTTCTTAGAAATAATATCTTGCTATGTTGCCCAGGCTGGTCTTGAACTCCTGGTCTCAAAGAATCTTACTTTTTCTTAATGGTGCGATTATTTTGTTAACACAGTAACACAGAGCTGATAATAATGAAAGTAGTTCCATTAATGATAACACTTAACATTGTCTGGATAATGCAAGTGTTAAATATTGTTTGCTTTATTGAAACATTGATACCAACATTTTATTAGTATGAAACTACCCACTTCTAGACTCTGATTCCTTTCCTTTATCTTCATACTAGGACCAAATAAGGGTATTATGGTCTTTTTGCTCTGATTCCTACCATTTTACTATTGATAGCGTGTCAAAATACAAAATTACAACAAATTTAGTTTAAAGATCTAAACTGGCTTTGATTTGCAATTCTAGACTTGAGCAACACATTATTCTAAAAAACAGAATGAGTGTTCTGATGAACTGAGCAGAGGAGTTGGCTTTTTAGGCAGAAAAGGGCTGAAGAAAACAGAAACGGAGAACAAAAAGTACATGGGTTGGTTTATAATTACTTTCCTTGTAAAATGTTAAAGCAGTGGGGATTTCTTTATTATGCTGGCTAAAACTGGCCTGTTTGGAGATTTGGCTATTACCTCTCTCTCTCTCCTGATTTCTTGCAAGATCAAATAAACTGTCAGCATGAGTAAGTACATTTTGGTTTGGTCTGTTGGACCTAGTGCAGAAACTCAATCCAAACCAATGGCCTTGTATAAACTTTATTTTACATATAAAACATAATTTTTATTTTGTATGCTTCAGAGAGTATTTTAAAACTTCAGTTCTGAATTAGGTCCAACAAAAGGTTGGAAAAGAGTAAAGGAAAAATAACTGAAAGACAATGAGAGAGGCACAGTAATGGAAGCAAAAAGGGGAGCTTAGTAGGTTTACTATGATAAAACAAGATATTTTGGTCCAATGTGGGTTATAAAAGAAACATTTTTGTTGTTTATACAAGTAGGTCAGGTGCAGTGGCTCACGCCTGTAATCTTAGCACTTTGGGAGGCCCAGGTGGGCAGATCACTTGAACTCAGGAGTTTGAGAGCAGCCTGGGCAACATGGCAAAATGCTTTCTCTACCAAAAATACACACATACAAAAAGTAATAAATGCTTTGGAAATGAATATTAGTTTATCATTTTTGTACTAAAGAATGACCTTCCCAATTCTTATTTTTATTTTGATAGAGATGGGGTCCTGCTACATTGCCTAAACTGGTCTCAAACTTCTAGCCTCATGTGATATGCAAGTGCTGGGATTGTAGGAGTGAGCCACCATGCCTAGTCTTAGTTTTTTTGTTTGTTTTAGATAGAGTCTTGCTGTGTCACCCAGACTGGAGTGCAAGGACATGTTCACAGTTCACTGCAGGCTCAATCTCCTGTTCTCAAGTGATCCTTCTATCTCAGCTTCGGTAAGACAACAGGTGCATGTCACCATACTCCCCTTTTTTTTTTTTTTTTTTTTTTTTTTTTTTGAGAAGAAGTTTTGTTCTTGTCACTCAGGCTTGAGTGCAACGGTGCAATCTTGGCTAACTATAAACTTCATCTCCTGGGTTCAAGTATTGTCCCGCCTCAGCCTCCAGAGTAGCTGGGACTACAAGCACCTGACACCACACCCAGCTAATTTTAGTATTTTTAATAGAGATGGGATTTCACCATGTTGGCCAGGCCTGTCTGGAACTCCTGACCTCAGGTGATCCACCCGCCTCAGCCTCCCAAAGTGCTGGGATTGCAGGCGTGAGCCACTGTGCCCAGCCCACCCCGTTAATTTTTATTTTATTTTTTTTTGAAGAGAAAGAGTCTCACTATATTGCCCAGGCTGATCTCAAACTCCTGGGTTCTAGTAGTCCTCCTACTTTGGCCTCCCAAAATGTTGGGATTACAGGTATGAGCCTAGCCTTAACTCTTATTTTTAAATGTCAGCATTTTTATTTAGTTGAAGATTTATTTTTGCATGCAATTTAATTTTTGAACATTTGTAAATAAGACACTAAGTTTTAGAAATTCACTTTAAAGGTATTGGTAAACTCATAATCTCTCTTTGACTTTCAAAACCTATTACTTTGCCTTATCTATCTTTTGTGAAACTCCCTCATTCCACAGTATCTACAAGCAAGTCTTAATATTTTTGAACTATATGTCTGAATAGTCATTTGCTTGATTTAAAAAAATTCTCTTTAGAAGTACTTCAACGAAAGAAATGAGAAAGGATACGAAATTGGAATTTTTTTTTTTTTTTTTTTTTTTTTTTTTTTTGAGACGGAGTTTCGCTCTTGTTACCCAGGCTGGAGTGCAATGGCGCGATCTCGGCTCACCGCAACCTCCGCCTCCTGGGTTCAGGCAATTCTCCTGCCTCAGCCTCCCTAGTAGCTGGGACTACAGGCACGTGCCACCATACCCAGCTAATTTTTGTA